AAGATTAAATCATCGACAATTTCAGTCTTTTCTCTACCTATCATGATATTGCCTTTTTGGCCCAGTGGTAAAGATTTTTGTTTTCTTTGATGTTGAGATGTAGCGCATATTAAAGACTGTGGTCCTTGATTCCTTGCAACAAGTACCTCAAGTCCTCTTTGCTTTAGGCAAATGGAACTTGTGTTATCTGCATAATCCAGGTTGTTGATGAGCCACTCACCAATCCTAATGTCACACTTTTCTTCATAAAGTCCAGCTTTTCAACTGGTCTCAGCATACAGATTGAATAGATTTGGAGGAAGGATACACCCTGATGAACATTTTTCTTTATTTTAAGCCATGCAGTGTTCCCTTGCTCTGTTAGGACAACAGCTTCTTGGTCTAGGTCTAGGTTTCATATAAGCCTAATTAAGTGCTCTGAAATTACGGTTCTTCTCAATGTTAGCCTTAATTTCTTATGATACACCCAGTCGAAAAATCTCTGCAGTCAATAAAACATATAGACATCCTTCTGGTGGTATTCTCTGCTTTCAGCCAAGACCCATCTGACATCAACAATGGTATCCCTGGGACCACACTCTCTTATAAATCTAGCTTGAACTTCTGGTAGTTCTCTGTCAATGTACTCTTCTACCTGTTTTGAGGTTATTATCAACAATATTTTGCTTGCTTGTGATTAATAATATTGTTCAATTGTTTCCACATTCTGTTGAATCACCTTGCTTGGGAATGGGAACAAATATAGATCTTTTCAAGTCAGTTTGTCAGGTAACAGTCTTCTGCATTTTCTAGCATAAACTGGTGAGCAACACACACAGGACTCCATCTGTCAGTTGAAACATGTTAATTGATATTGAATTGATTCTTGGGGCCTTATTTTTTGCCAATTCCTTCAGTGCATCTTAAACTTCTTCCCCCACCACATTGGCTCTGTTTCATATGCTGCTTCCTGAAATTTTTCACTGTCGATCAATTATTTTTTATACAGTAACTGTGTATTCCCTGCATCTTCTACTGATAATTCCTGGACAGGTCATGGTGCTAATTAAATGAAACAAAATAAGCAAAGCCAAAGCCTTCTAATAGTTCAGTAAATACTGATGTCTTACCCTCCTCCTACCCTTCCCCAAGTTGTCCTTTTTATCTTAAATCATATTTTGAAAAGGCTTCACAGTAAGCAGTGGACCAGCAAGAACATAAATAAATGCTTTCTTCCATATTTGTTCTTTCTTCTTTCCCTCTTTCTTCATCTTTATTAATTTTCCTTTTCTATGTGTTCTTTTTCCCATCTATTTGTTAAATTGCTCCATTTCTTTTCCTGTCTCTCCTCCTACCATATGAGGTTGAGGGGCAAGCTACTGAATATTTTCACTGTGAGATGTAGATCAGAGGATAGAACATTCAAGAAAGAACATTTTTAAATGGTATCCAATTTCTCACATCATGTCCCAGCCTTGACAGCTCATTATTTAAGTAGATCTAAACTGTTGTTGTTGTTGTTGTTTGATGCCGTCGAGTTATAGACGACTCATAGTGACCCTATGAACGAACAGCCTGAGCACTGTTCGTACATAGAGTTTCTGGAGGCAAGCCATTTCGGAAGTGGATGCCTCTCCTGCTTCCAGAGATCTAAACTACCGTGGTTTAAATAAACTTAGGGGAAGGCAAGGCCATATCCCTTCATATCGTAATGTTTGCAGTGCACTCCAAGGCCCAATAATAGTGTTAGGTCATGCCAACAAGACAGTGGGAGGAAAACAGTATGGGTCTATAAGGAGACTTGACTGGAAGGGGTGGGCAGAACTTTGGACTTTGACCAAATAACTTTTCCTTTTGTGCTTGCCTATTTTTCTTGTAATAAAATGTAAATAATTCTCACTGGCCATGGCAAAGAGTATGAACAGAGCTTACTATAAACAATGCCAAGGACACTAACCTGGCAAGAGAGATGCCATGAGCATGAAGGGAGATTTCTCAGGGCAAGTCTTATCCACTGCATTCAAGATGTCCTGACTCCTGCAATTTCCCCAAAGGTGGGAAACTCAACTGCATAACTGGGGTTGGGGGGTGAGGAGGAGAGTGTGTTCACACTTTCCCCTTAACAAGAAAAAAGGAGGAAAGATGCAATACTGACTACACCAGCTGTAGTGATGGATCTGGAAGGAAGTGCACTGTAACCCAAAGGCGGCTCCTCTCTGGCAGTTCCAATCCACCAGTGGCTCCTCAGCAAGAAAGATGGGTAATCTCTTCTCATGCAATTTGTTGTTGTTGTTGTTAGGTGCTGTTGAGTTAAATATAACCCATAGATCTGAACTCTGCCCTAATTTGTTCCACCCTTATGATCTCTGACACACTTGAGCCCATTGCTGCAGTCACTGTGTCAATCCATCTGGTTGAAGGGTCTTCCTCTCTTTCGCTGACCCTCCACCTTTCCAAGCATGATGTCCTTTTCCAAGGAATAGCTCTCCTAGTATCATGTCCAAAGTTTGTGAGACACAATTCTTCGCCACTCTTGCCTCCAAGGAGCAGTCTGACTGCACTTTCTCTAAGGTATCTGTTTGGGGTTTTGACAGTCATGGGACCATCAGCACTCTTTTTTTCTTTTTTTTTTTTTTGACAGTGGAATAAGTTTATTCTTATGTACAGAAGAATCGGTGTGTACATCAGCCCAGCTTGGTGGTGAGTTCTTTGGCCTTGGCCTTCTCCAGCTTGGCGATGCGGGCCACTGACTTGGGCCCCAGGACGTTGCCTCCCCAGTGGCAGCGGATCTCATCATATCTGTCATTGTAATTGGTTCTGATGGCTTCTACCAGCTTTGCCAGAGCGCCTTTATCTTCCAGGTTCACCTGCGTGAAGGCAACAGTGGTGCAGGTCTTCCGGTGGACGAGGCGGCCCAGCCTGGCCTTGCCCTTGATAATGCAGTAGGGAACACCCATCTTCCGACACAAAGCCGGCAGGAAGATCACCAGCTCTATGGGGTCCATGTCGTGTGCAATAACCACTAGTTGGGCCTTTTTGTTCTCCACCAGGGTGGTGATCATATTCACCCCTGCATGGAGGACAGGGTGTCTCTTCTTGGGGGTGTCTCCTTTGCCAGCAGCCTTCTTCTCAGCTGGGGCCAGCAGCCTCTGCTTCTTCTCCTTCTTGGTCTCTGGTCGGAACTTGTGGGCCAGCTTCTGGCAGTCCAAAGCCTGGGTAAACTGGTTAATGGCAGGTGTCACCTTGAGTCGTTTGTAGAGGATTGCCCTCTGCCACTGCAGCCTGATGTAGCAGGGTCATTTGACGAAGCGGGTAAGGTCCCTTTTGGGTTGGATGTCCTGCCCGATGCCAAAGTTTTTGGGTCTTTTATTGGACAGGGGATTCACCACCTTCTTGGCCTCCTGCTTCTTGACCACAGCGAGCGCCCGGGCCACCTTCTTCCCCTTGGCCTTCTTTCCCTTCGGCATCTTGGGCAGATGGGCAAGAGAGAAAAGGGACCATTAGCACTCTTATACAACATCAAAACTCAAAGGCTTCGATCCTTTTTCTGTAATCCTTATACATTGTCCACCTCTGATGCATAATAAATGATTGAAAAAAGAATGGCTTGAATCAGGCACAGCTTAGTCTTTAAGCTGACATCATTGCTTTGCAGTACTTTGGGGAGGTCCCTGACTATAGACATTCCCAGTGCAATACATCTTTTTATTTCTTTCCTGCTGATACCAATGGTGTTTATTGTGGATCCAAGTAAGATTTACATCATGCAGTTTACAACTTTGGAAAACTTGCTGGAGGGTCAGCTGTGAGTTACTACTGACTTGATAGCAATGAATTTGAGTTTTGAGTTTAACTCTCAGTTACCTATTTCATAAAGTATTGAAAAGAAATGTGAAAGTGCTTTGTAAAATGTGAAATAGATGTGAAGTTACTTGGAGGAAATATATCATAAATCTCTATTTATTCAAGAGCACTTCTTTGAGGACACCCACTGCTAGGCATTAGGGAAACAAAGATTAAGAGTGATCCATATATTTTTTTAGAACTCAGAACGAAAAGGTATTTTTAGGATCCTGGGTAGAAGGAAGCGTAAGGCTTCAGAACTCGAGCAGACCTCAAGAATGCTGTGGTCCACACTGAGTTGCAGAAGGACACTAACAATCTCAAGATGCTTTGACTTAGGAGTCCCAGACTTTCCACTGCACGTGTCACCAAGTGGCTGAAGCAGCTCATACACTCCATGTACAGGAGGAAGCTGCGAGAGGACAGGGAGGGTCCCCACAGAGACTGGAGCCTAGTCAGCCTTTCTCCAGGCCCGGAAACCACAGGAAAGCAGGTCAGGGCACGGCCCCTCCTTCTGCTCCCAGCTCAGTGGTATCTGAGGCTTCCTGAGCAGGCTGGACCGCAGGACCCATGAGTCCTTGCAACTGGGGGTCCTTTGCTCAGAACAGCTGAAAATGGACAGAGAATAGAAAATGGCACTCTAGCCCTGGAGGCATGTGAAGGTGACGGGTGCCATATAGAACTCACTTTTATTTCTCCCCCAGCACACCTCACTCAAGTCTAAATGATGCCTCAGTAACTTCTGTATTTACAACCGCTGGTGCACAATAATGTATGTATGTGTTCAGAAGATACTCAAGTCCAAGGTGTGTTCCTGGGCATTTCAGATCAGATTCAGGAGTTGAAGAGGTTAAGATATGAGTGCAGACTTCCATCCCCCCAACCACCCAAGTGCTGACCCATTCCCTGCTGCTTCTAGGCCACAGCAGGGACGCTCTTCTTTCTGAGAGGGCAATAGGGGTTTCAAGGTGCAGGGGTTCCCCCCCTTTCTCCACTGGTGGAGAAGGAATGCAGCCTGGCTGGTGGTGAGGCTTTAGGAGGAGCTTTGAGGCAGGGCGGGGCAGGGGCAGGCCGAAGCTGGGTTCCCGCTGGCATGCTGTTCTCTTGGCTGCTAGGTGCAGCAAGGCCCTGCCACCCACCTGCAGGCAGAGCAGCCATATTCTGGGAGCCCTGAGCTCATGGGTAGCCCCACTCTGGTAGCCCTGCTCCTGCTTCCCCTCCTGCTGCCCATCGGCCTCTTCACTTTTCCAGGCTGTCCCTGCGTGCCCCACCAGAGTGCACTCTTTCTGCTGGCCTCCCTCATGGTAAGGTACCACCTACCTAGCACAGTCTGGCCAGCCCCCATTCCCCTGCTGGCCTGCCCTTTGCCACCTCCCTGTCACCCTGTGGTCCCGTGGCTGCCTCTGCAGTCCTCTACACAGCTTCCAAAGACAGCCAAGATCCTGATCTCCCCCAAAGGTCTAGGCAGGGTGGAGCTGGGAAGGAACAAGCCAGAGTGGGCAGGAGATTGGTTTACAGACATTAGAATTAGGTTATTAGAAGCAAAGACCCCAGGGAGAATGTCTTTTGTGGATCCTCTATAATAATGTTTCTCTCTACTTTCTGCTGTGTGTTGCAGGATGAATTCTTGGGTGAGTTCCAACCCCTGCTTGCTCCTCCCACACATACCCCTTTTGTCCCCACAATCCTTCCACGATATCAGGGAAATGCATTGTCTGGAATCAAGACAAACCTGGATTAACGTGGCTGTCCTGCCAGACTTCACAGGTAGCCTCAGGCAGTTGACTTAAACCCCTCAGAGCCTCTGTTCTGTGCTGACTTTGAGTTATGTGGAGAATGAAATAGAAGGTCCCTTTCCAGGTACCCCATAACCATCAGCTCCCCCTTGACTGGCCCCTCCCCTATGTGGGAAATCCAGAGAGACAATAATTCTTCAGATTTTATAGTCTTTCCTTTACAAAGCATGTTGCTGTACTTTATCTTACTTGATCTTTATAACAGCCTCATTTATGAATGAGGAAGCTGAGGCTCCAAGAAATGCTATAATTGCTCAAGGTCACATGTCCAAGATATCAGGGGCAGAACTCAAGCACATGTCCACCTCACCCAAAGAGGGAGAGCCCTCCATGGGCCGTGTCACTGCCTTCCCTTTTCCTCTTTTGTAGGACACTCTGCTCATCATCTTTGCCATACCCAATTGGTCTTCATCTTCTTCATAAAGCCCGAGTGTGCCCTAGCATGGCACTGCCCCTGCCACTTGTGTCTGCAGCTGGTTTCAGATCCTTCAGGTACGAGAAACAACCTTGGGCTTCCTCCAGTCAGCAGAGATGTGTCTATCGTAGGGAGGTGGGGGATACCTTATGAGATGAGTGGAACTTGTCCTCACAGTGGGACAGATATTTGTCCTTCAGTTGTCAATATTGACACAAACCCAGATCATCCTATTTGATTTAAAAATATATAACAGTTATAATATTCAGAAGTTCAAGTGTATCATTTTGTGAAGATTTATTTTCACCTGGTACCAAGTCTTGTGATTAAAAATGATCTGTTCTATTTGTTTATTGTTAAGATTTTGTAAAGTAGGGAACTCTGGGGGCATGGTCCATAGGGAGTTGCCTCTCAGGTTGTTCAAACCCGCCAGTGGCTTTGAGGGAGAAGGTGGACAGTCTCCTTCCAGTCTCCAGGCAATCTACAGCCTCGACAACCCACTGACTCCACAGCAATGAGTTTCAGGTTTCACTATGTGCTTTCATTGTCTAGTGCAGTGTCTACCACATACTAAATGCCTCCATGCTACCTGTGTCAGAATGGTGCAGATTGTTAATGCTCTCAGCTACTAATCCAATGTTAGAGGTTTGAATCTACCCAGAGGTACCTCAGAAGAAAGTCCTGATGGTCTGATTCTGAAAAGTTAGCCATTGAAATTCCTATCAGCACAATGCTACTCTGATGCACATGTTGGAATTGACTTGATGACAACCGTTTTTTCATACACTGTTTAGGAATTAGAAGTTTTAAATTTTTCACTACCATAAAGGATGCCATAGAAAGCCTTTTTCTGTACTTAAGAAAGGAATCTTCTTTGTACTGTGTTATAACTTTTGGAACTTCTTGTTGTTATGTTGTTAGGTGCCATCAAATCGAGTACAACTCATAGCAACACTATGAATAACAGATCTGAACCCTGTCTATCCTGCACCATTCTCACACTTCCTCACACACTAGCGCCCACTATGGCAGTCACTGAATCAACCCACCTGGCTGAGGGCTTTCCTCTCCTTCACCAACCCTCCACCCTTCCTAGCATCATGTCCTTCTCCTAGGAATAGCTTCTCCTAGCAATATGCACTAAGTATGTGAGGTGAAGCCTTATCATTCCTTCCTCCAGATAGTACTCCAGCTGCTCCCTCTCCTCCTTGGCATCATTTTTGTTCTCAAGTTCCAATGACTTACCATCTGTGAAGGGAAAGGCAAGGTATGATAAGGACATGATCAGCACAGTATGGCTAAGACATAGAGTGGTATATGACAGGTACAGTCAGTAGCAGACAAGCAAGACAAATAAACATGCAGAGAGAAAAAGGAATGTGCCCAGGACTATACATACGTTTGGCAGATACTATTTCTGCATTCATCATATATATGCTGTTAAAACATCCACATATATAGTAGAGCCAGCAGGGAGCAATATTTTGTAAGCTTTTTAATCCTAACTGAATACCCTGAGGAATGAGTGCTGGTGGTGCTGAGGCCTTGGGACCACAGTCTTGCGGGACATTAAGGCCAATTGGCATAGCATTATTCCATGAACACAACCTTCTGTATTCTGCTTTGGTGATTAGTCATGGGAGGTCTTAAAAGTTTGTGAACAGGGAAGTGGGGAAAGGAAAAAAAAGTCTGTGAACAGCCAACAGTTCAACTACTGATCTTTCCCTGTCTGGAACGTAAAAGAGGAAGAAAAGCAAAGATATATATACTGAAACAATCAGTGCAAAGGCTAATGGACATCACACCTCAACTTATAAGACCCTGAAATCAGACAAACAATATGGTTTGGTCTAGCTGCCACTGATGACTACTCTAAAAATGACCCCAAGTAGAAATCCTACATAAAGTGAGGAGATGTAGGCCAAAGCTCAGAAAATTAAAAAAAGCTGGGTGTGCTGGTTTGGTAAGAGAGTCTTGAGATCATGGCTCTCAGTTACCCTTCAAACCTAGAACAAAACTTCCTTTTGTAGACAGAGGATTCTCTGAGACTATTGTCTTGAAATGCTTTGTAAGCCTTGAACTAAAACTATCCCTTGAGATTATCTTCCAATACAAAAGCAGACAGGTCTTACCCACTAAATTGGTGCCCTGCTGAAAACAACTAATGCCTGAATGGGTCCAAAAGGTTGGCATTTAATAGAAGCAAAGATGGGAAGAGGACAGGGAAACCAGAATACTAGAAAAGGAACCACCATAGCGTAATGAGAATGTTAACACAATCTAGAAAATATAATTAATGTCGTTGATCAATTTATGTGGAAATTGTCAAAGAGGAACCTAATTTGCTGTGTAAACTTTGCCAAGACTACACTAAAATATCACTTAAAGGTGATAAAATAAAAATTACTATCTGACAGTTAGGTACATCTCAGTTTGGGAAGGGGCAAAGAAAGACTGAGTATTAAGCATGTCTTCCTCCCTGTGCAGGCCTTCAGTGGGGCTGGTCCCAATTCCAGGGACAGAAATCCAAGAAGCCTTACAGGCACAAGTTCTGTAGGAGACACAAGGTGTCAGCATCTGCTCAGGTACTTGCCTTGCCAGCCCCAGCCCAGCCTTTTTCCTTCAGGCTCCTCATGAGAGAGATGAGGAGGGAAGTATGGAGACAAAGTAGAAGGTCTTCTGACCATTGCACTGTTAAGGAGACTGAGGTCAAAACAGATTGATCAATCAATCACAGCAAGTTTGCTGTGGAGCCCATGCTCCAGAGGGAGGACTTGAAGCTTCCCTGCTTCCTGTCTGGAGGCCTACCTCATTTTCTGCTTACAGAGGAAACCTCCGGGTAACTGTTGCCTGTCTGAGAAGGATCACACCTCCAACCCCTCCCCAGACATCGTCTACAAAGGACTCCGCTCTAAAAGAACCCAACCTTTCAGTGCAGAGGCCAAGGAAGGTCTCCCCAGGCTGGGCTTACAGAGACATGAAAGTAGGAATGGGGTATGGTAGGAGATGGGCTTTGGCAATTAGTGGTGATGGTGCTAAGCCTAGATGCCAAGGCCAAGGGCCCCCCGGGTCTGCCTTCTCCCCAGGGCCCAAATTCTCCTTTGAACTGCTGCCTGAAGCACGGGCTGTTCGAGTGACCATTCCTCCAGGCCCTGAGGTCAGAGTGCGTCTTTGTCATCAGTGGGCACTGGAATGTGAAGACCTGAGCAGTCCCTTTGATACTCAGGTATGGGGTACCAGCCCCTGACATGAAGCTAGATTCCACAAGTGCTGAAGCACATTGTACATACGAGGAGACCAAGGTCAAGAGGGGAATTACCCAAGACCTTACCATGAGTAAGAGAAAGGAGTATGATTTGTGCTCCCAATGAGAAGGATGCTAATTGAGATTCAGATAGCTTCAAGGTTTTCTAGTTTCCCAAAGAAGATGGGAAAGTTAAAAACAAGTCACAAATATCTTACTATCTTTCCATCTTCTTCCTTTTAATCATTGTTCCTGCCCTTGCATGTCTGCTCCCCATTTTCTCTGACCCCCCACATCAACTTCCAGTTTCTGCAGGTGCTCACGTATATAGCTGGCACAATCGCAGGACACTAAAAATTTACCCTGGATCTCTCAACTCTCTTCTTGTATAAAATACAAAACTACTACAGTACTGGAATCTGCTTAACTGAGTCACTGCTTCTAGCACTTAGCAACCTGTCTGACACACAAGAGGTGCTCAGGAATGTTTCTTTCTTCTTATCTCCCCTTCTCCTGCCTCCATATCCTAATAACTCCAGAGCAAATGCTTAGAACACAGAGCAGAACCCCCCTGGGAAGGAATTTCTCAGTGGCAGAAATAAGTTTCATCCAGGGAAGAGTAGCGTGTGTTAGCCAAGGTCTCAGCTTCCTCCTGCCCTCATCCAAGGTGCATATATCCATCGTTTCTTCTTTCTCTCTCTCCCTTTCCCTTTCCCCCTCTTTTCCTTTCTCTCTGTCTCTCTCCCCCACCCCCACCCTGCTACTGCTTTATCAACAGGAAATCGTGCATGGGGGACGCACAGCAGAGCTGCCCTATGAATTCCTTCTACCCTGTCTGTGCATTGAGGTAAGCAGTGAGTGGAAAAGGGTATGTGGTGCTCATGGCTTGCCTATGACACCCTGAATATATTGCAGTGCATCAAGAATGCCTTTAGCAGGCCAGGCTTAGAAAGGCGAGGGGTTACTGAGGCACTTGGAAAGACAGAGACTAGCCTGACTGTACCCCGAACACCAGGTCCAAGATGGAAGAGTCCTGCTAAACATAGGACATTCTTGGCATGATGCCAGCCTTAGCCTCCTGCCCCATGCAGACTTTCCCTGGTCTAGAATAGACAGCAACTTAACTAGATGCTCTTGGGAGTTCAAAGCAGGAGTGTGTGACCACTGCAGGGATCCATATGCCCTCTAGATATTTTCCTCACATCACTACCCTGCTCCTCTCCTTACACATCTGAGGTGCCTATCTTTAAGACTTTCCTGGATTAGACAGAAGGTGCTGGAAATCTTGTGACTTGGGAGAAGAAAAAGGGTCTAGACAGAAACCTGGAGCACAGCAGACAGAGGGGGTTTGGCCAATTCAGGGTGAAGAAAAATGTGGCACTGGGCACCACTTTGGGAACAGCTGAGAGTGGGGACCAGGGATGCCTAAAGGTCAGGGGATGAGGCTTTCTAGACTTCCTTCCTCTTGGGGGTGGGCTCTGCTCTCCAAGAGAAGAGGAGTCAACTTCTCCCCTGCTGATTTCTTTCCAGTTTCTTCCCCAGATGCCAAGCACCACCCGCCCCTCTCCACTCCCCATTGCTCCCCATCTCAGGGCCCTGTCAGCTTAGCCAGCTTGTAGCGGCTCAGGAGAAGACAAAATTAGCTTTAGGCTTGAACAGTGAAGGAACAGCCACTGCCCTGACTCCTTGTCTATCCCTTGTCCCCCAGGCATCCTACCTGCAGGAGGACACTGTGAGGCACAAGAAATGCCCCTTCTGGAGCTGGCCTGAAGCCTGTGAGTGCTGCTTCTGTGCAGTGTTGTGCATGTATGTCCCGCCTCCCTCCTGGTCTTTCCGTCATCCGTACACTCCCTCCTGATCTCCCCTTCACACACATGTGCCTGTGTGTTATCCATGTTCACTCTCTGCCTCGTTCCTATCCTCTCCTTCATACACACATCCTTGTGTCAGTAATGCACACTTCACACCAGTGTAGAAGGAAGTTCACACCAGGCCTGAGGAGGGAGGGAGGGAGGAGGGCCAGGGCTAACAGTCTGCCTGCTAATAAAACACCTAGAATTCCAAAGATGAATCAGTAGGCCTCCTGAGAGGGTGGACAGGAAGCATGGACTCTCTCCTCTCAGCTCTGCCCCTTCATCTTCACTGAGGCCATTTCTTTATCTGTAAAATGGGAATAGTGTATCTTACGCAACTTACTTCCAAATTTTTTGTGCGCCTTGAATTAGATACAACATGGTCATCTCTAACATGTTGCAGGCACCATGTTGTCCTAGAGCTGTAGAAAGGACACACAGGCATGGCCAGCAAACACAACACAGGCTGCACAACACAAGGGAGGCTGTGAAGGCCGTAGTGGACAGAAGAGGTCCATGAAAAGGCAGCCCCTGAGCAAGGTCTGAGGCTTTAGAAAGAAAAGAAGGGAAGGAAGGCATTCCTGGTTCTTGGAGAACAAAGATGTGAAGGTTTCCAGTCTGGGGAGAAGTGAGAAACCGGTGCAAATGGGGGCCTGAGAAGGAATGATGACAGACGGCTAGAACAAGTACTACAAGGAAGGGAGCCCCCATGGCTTAGGCAACAGCAAGCTCCAAAGCTCACCCCAAAGTAACCTAAAGGTGTACCCATATGGTCAGGAATGATGCCTGGCACATTGACAAGTGTCAACTGTTACCCTGAGGGTGACCGTAATACAGTTTGGCAGAGCAAGGCTGAGGCCTCCCCTGCCTCGTCCTGTGATTGCCTCCTGCCCAGATAGCTCAGACTTCTGGAAGTCAGTTAATTTTACTGACCGGAGCCAGTATGATCAGATGGCCATGACCCTGGTGCTCCGTTGCCCCCTGAAGCTGGAGGCCTCACTCTGCCAGAGGCAGGACCAGCACGCCCTCTGTGAAGACCTCCCCAATGCCACAGTTCAGGAGTCACAGGGGGTGAGTACAGGCCTCTTGAGATGTGGGGGTGGGGTGCAGGGCTGAGACCCAGGCCCCTTCTCCCTAACTAAGCCCCTGCTCCCACAGTGGTATGCTTTAGAGAAGGTGGACTTGCACCCCCAGCTCTGCTTCAAGGTATGACTGTAGTAGAAAAGGGATGGGTAAGGTTTGCAGAGAAGCCTGCATGCTCGTTAACCCACTGCGCCATGCTGACTATCCACTTGTATTTCTCAGTTTTCTTTTACTAACAGCAGCCACGTCGAATGCCCCCACAGGACTGGTGAGCCAACAAGTGACTCCAGTGGGAATCCCTCTCATGGTTTGCTTCATGTCCTCCTATGACTGAGCTAGGCCCCAGCCCTGTCCTGACTTCCTGTCCATGGCAGCCCAGCTCATCTCCCAGGAACAGAGTCTTACGTGCTTCCTCTCCTCCACTGGGCAGCCTCATCCTGGAATGTGAGCATGGACACCCAGGCCAAGCAGCTGGTCCTTCACTTCTCCTCACGGACACATGCTTCCTTCAGTGCTGTCTGGAGCCCCCCAGGCATGGGGCAGGCCAGTGCAGAGCTCCCTGTGTATACCGTCAGCCAGGTATGGTCATGGCAGGGCCTGTGGCCTGCGCCACCATCCTTCCATCTGTTTCTCTACTTGGAGCACAGCCCCATCTCCTTGTTACCTTGTTGAGACAGATCTTACTTAGATCATTCATTTCTTCAATAGGCATTGCTCAACAGGCTTTTCCACCAGAGCGGTCTTCAATGAAGCAGTTTATAGTTTCTGAACTTACAGGGTTAATCAGAAGTAAGGGATTGTTGTTGTCATTAGGTACCACAGGGTCAATCCTGACTTGTAGCTACCCTGTACTAGAGCACAGAGCACTGCCCAGGCCTCTGCCCTGCTCACAATCGCCGCTTGGAGTCCACATGCAGCCACTGTGTCAATACATCTAATTGAGGGTCTTCATCTTTTTCACTGACCCTATTTAACAAGCATGATGTCCTTCTCCAGGGACTAGCCTCACGTGATAACATGCCCAGAGTATGTGAGACAGTATCAACATCATTGCCACCAAGGAGCATTCTGGCTGCACCTCCTCTGAGGGAGACGTTTTCATTCTTTTGGCAGTCTGTAGTATCAATATCCTTCACCAGCATCACTATTGTAAGAGGCCAGCGACTGGTGCTCTCATATTTAGATGTCCTTTGGCCTCTCTAGGCTGCAGCCCTATTTTGTACAAGTGCAGTTTTCCAGCTTCCTTGTCCTCTACCCCTACTCTTTCACTTGATGAAGCAGAAGCCCTCCAAGTCTATCCAGAGGCAGCGCCCCCAGAAGTTGGTGTGCTTTTTGAACAATGATATAAATGACTAATTGACTTAACTCTATTTTGAGGACTGAGAACAGTTTCACTAGCAAACTCCCTTAGTTGTTTCTGACATAAAAACTACAACCAAACACATCCACAAAACCACAGCACCGAGCTAAGTGTGCCTAGCTCTTTACAGTTCTTTCTTAAGTGCTCACTTACAGCTGGTTTTGCATTCCATGAGGGATCCCAAGCAGACCACCCCATAACCGTCTGCTGCTGAGTCAATTCCGACTCATAGCAACCTTGTAGGTTCGAAAAGAGCTGCCCACAGGCTTTCCAAGGACAGTGTGCTCTTTCTAGAACACACATCTCAGTTTTTCAACTGCAGAGTGGCTGGTGCATTCAAACCACCAACCTTCTGATAAGCAGCTGAGTACTAGCACACCACCAGGACTCTTCTCAGACAAAGACGCAGTGACAAATGTTTAAGATTTAAGACACAGTTGTGTGGGATAAGGTAAAATTGTGAGTGAAATATATTGACAAATTTGTGTGAGGTGGGAAAAGACAATTGTGACTGAGCTCAGCCTGACTTCAGTGTCACTTCATCAGCACCAGCCAGCAAGCTGTGTGAAGCACAGAGTGAGAAATAGGATCAGGGACAGAAGGTAGCAGCCATCCAGGAGTCTGTGGCTGCCATCCTAACCAGCACACAACAGACAAAGAAGAGTCGTGTTTTGCCTGTAGACAGAAGGCATTCAATTTTGTTCAATTGAGCAAGCATTTATTGAATGACTACTCTAAGCCCCTTCTGTATTAGGCCCTGAGAGATAAAAGAGAAGTCTAGGACAATCTCTTCTGTTCTTAAGAAGTTCACAGTATAACAACAGCTACTATAAATAAAGGAACATTGTCCGCTATTTATTATTAGGAATCCCTAGATGGTGACTTGACTGTGAACCGAAACGTTGGAGGGTCAAGTGTCCCCAGAAGCACCTCAGGGGAAATGTCTGGTGACCTTCTCCTGGAAGGATTAGTCACTGCATTTTCCTTATGGAAAGCAATTCTACTCTGACACCTGTGAGGTCTGACACACATCTATTTTACAGGAACTCGTTTTTAGCTTTGTTTTTTATTAACATGTTTCAAAGGCATATTCCCATCTGATGCTCTCCATAACTTAGTAAACTAAGAATTTTTATGCTCTATAATCAAATGAACATCATACAGTACAAAAGTAGGGAGCTTCCAGAAATTCAAGCTGAATTCAGAAGAGGCTGTGGCACGAAGTATATAACTTACTGATATCAGGCTGAAAGTAGAGCACCAGAAGAATGTCTATTTGTGTTTTATTGACTCTGGAAAGACCTTTGACTGTGTGGATCATAACAAGTTATAGATAGCAGTAAGAAGAATGAGAATTCCAGAAAACTTGATTGTGCTCATGCAAAACCTATACAAGCAGTTGTCCAGCAGAACAGAGGAATACTGCATGGCTTAAAATCAAAAGAGATGTGTGTCGGGGTTATATTCTTTCTCCAAAGCTATTCAGTCTGTATGCTGAGCAAATACTTCGAGGTGGGCTCTGTGGAGAAGAATGTGGCATCAGGATTGGAGAAAGACTCCTCAACAACCTATCTTATCCAGATGACACAACCTTGCTTGCTGAAAGTGAGGAGGACTTGAAGCACATTCAGCAGGAGATCAAAGACTACATAACCTTCAACGTAGATTACATTTGAACAGCAAGAAAATTAATATCCTCACCACTGGACCAACAGGCAACATCAGGATAGATGGAGAAAAGACTGACATTATCAACCATCTCTTTTTACTTTGATCTACAATCAACATCCATGGTAATACCAGTCAAGAAATCAAAAGACATGTTGCATTGAGAAAAATCTGCTGTCAAGGACCTCTCCAAAGTGCTAAAGAGCAAGGATGACAGGTTAAAGACCAAGATGCCTCCAATTCAAGCCATGGTATTTTCAATTACTTCCTATGTATCTGAAAGTTGTAAAATAAACAAGGATTACAAAAGAAAAATTGACACCTTTGAATTGTGGTGTTGGATAAGAGTATTGAATATCCCATAAACTGCCAAAAGAATAAAGCCTATCTTTGAGGAAGTGCAACCAGGATGCTCCTTAGAGGCAAGGATGGTGAAATTTCATCTCACATACTTTGGACATGTTGTCAGGAGGGTCCAGTCCTTAAAAAAAAAACCATCATGGGGAGCTCTGGTGGCCTAGTGGCAAGAAGCTGCACTGCAATCCCAAAGGCGCACAGTTTGAATCCACCAGATGCTCTGCTAGAGGAGGGGCAATCTCCTCCTGTGCCAGTTGGATCCAATTCGATGGTACACAACAAGGTAAAAAAGAAGACATCATGCTGGGAAAGGTGGAGGCTCAGAGAAAGAAAGGAAGACTGTCAAAGAGGAAAGAGGTGGACTGACATAGTGACTGTAACAATGGGCTGGAGCATACCGAAGAATGTGAGAATGGCATAGGATAGAGCAAAGTTCAGAGCTGTTATTCATAGGGTCACTATGAGACACAGTCCACACAATAGCACTTAGCGACAACCAATACGCAAGGAGAGATACCCTGGTGGTACAGTGGTTAAAACGCTCTGCTGCTAACCAGACAATTGGCAGTTAGAATCCACTAGCCACTCTGAGGGGGAAAGAGAGAAAGCAGCCTGATACCTTAAAGATTCACAGCCGTAGAAATCCATTTGGCAGCTGTCCTCTATGCTATAGGGTTGCTATGATGAATAGAATCAAGCATATTAGAGACGATGAGGAAGGCACAGGACAGGCAAGGTTCAGATCCATTGTCACAGGGTTGCTATGAGTGATAGTCAACTCCATGGCACCTGACATAGGGCTACTATGAGGTAGAATTGACTCCACAGCAGTGAGTTATGTTTATACAAGTGAAGGAACTGGGGCTGAAGGAAGGGAAGTAACCTATCATCTTGTAAAAGATGACACAATTAGGAACCAAAAAGTTAAGCCTGGACCTAGGTCCACAATCGGAATCCTGGTCAATGGACAAGAAACTTAAATCGTGCAGAGCAGTGAGCACAGCAGTATAAACTTGGCCCACCTGTTTAGTGGGCTGCAGGAGAACAGGGTCAATGTCTGCAGCAGCCGCCTCTGTGTGCAGGACTGGGCCCACTCAGCATAAAGAATTAATGTCGTTGATTGCCTGACATAAGTGTGTACAGAAGGAACCTAGATCTGGGAGAGGTCAGTGGGTGATCCAGTGACCAGGTTTTGGAGCATGAGGGGAGACAGGAAGAACAGAGATGCAGAATTGGCAGGCCAGATTCGTGACTGTGAGGAAAAGTCAGTCTACTTTTTTGTTCTTACAGACCCAGGGCTCAGGCCCAGTGGTGCTAGATCTCATCCTACCCTTCCCAAGGCCAGGTGCCTGTGTCCTGGTAAGACACCCTACCCTGATTCTGCCTCTCCTAGCACATTCTCCACCACAGAAGCCCAGAGCAAACCCAGCCTGCACATATGTTTGGTTCAGTCAGCACAGTGTCTGAAACTAGAATCAGTTGCCACCAATTTAAATATTGGAGATATTGTCTTAGCATACACACGTAAGTTTGTATATCATAGAATCAGACCTGATCCATAGCTGACCCTCCAGCGGATTTTCAGAGGAAGTTAATCGCTTGGGAGATTGTCCATCCTTCTCCTGCGTTGCAGCTGGTGGATTAGAACCACGTGCCTGTGGAATTGCAGCCTAGCTTAGAATAGGTCATGCTCTTTGCCTATGTTCCAGCACAGTGACAAGGGTCTGGAGCCTAGTAGTAACTGACTGCTTCAGGCAGGGCCTCTCTAACACCCTTTATGTGTTTACTTCAAGAGACTGGGCCCTGTCACCCTTGAGTTTGCAACCGCTAACCTAGAACACAATGCAGCCCCTGAACAACCCTGCGTTTGGGTAGTTTGTTCAGCTCCCCTTCACTCAACTCCCCCTGAGAGAAGGAGATAATTGGGCTAGCAGTGGGGACTCTCTGCCCTCAGGTATGGCGATCCGATGTCCAGTTTGCCCAGAAACACCTCTTGTGTCCAGATGGTGAGTCCATGGTGGGTGGCAGAGGGCCAAGGTGGAGGCTGGACACTGAGGAGCGCTGCTGCGCCTCACCCTGCTTGCTTTATAGTCTCCCACAGACACCTAGGGCTCCTGATCCTGGCGCTGCTGGCTCTTGCCACCCTTGTGGGCATGGTTCTGGTCTTCGCCCACCGGCGTCCACTCTCAGGTAACGTGGAGCTTCAAATCTGCTCAGCTCTTAGACTGGTTGTCTCCCCTTCCCCGAGTTCCCTCTCAGAGGATCATGTCTCTGTTTCACTGCCCCTGTGCTCAGCCTGCCACCCCGACGGTGAGCCTCCTCTAGAGGGCAAGAATGGTTAAGGGTGGGGGAGCCCCGGGGGCCTCATCTCTTTCCTCTGCTGCCCTGACTGCAGGTCCCCGCCCAGCGAAGCCGGTGCTGCTACTGCACGCGGCGGATTCGGAGGCCCAGCGGCGCCTGGTGGGGGCGCTGGCCGACCTACTGCGCACTGCGCTGGGCGGTGGGCGCGACGTCATCGTGGACCTGTGCGAGGGCGCGCGCGCGGCGCGCCTGGGCCCACTCCCCTGGCTGTGGGCGGCGCGCGCGCGCGTGCTGCGGGAGCAGGGTGCGGTGCTACTGCTGTGGAGCGGGGCGGGCTCCCAGGCCTGTGGCTTCGACCCGCACGCCACCCCCTTTCGCTCCCTGATCCGGGCTGTTCCTCGCCCCCGGCTGCTCCTTGCCTATTTTAGTCGCCTCTGCGCCAAGACTGACATCCCCGCACCACTGCGTGCCCTGCCACGTTACCGCCTGCTGCACGACCTTCCCAGCCTGCTCCGGGCGCTGGACGCGGGGACCTCGGCCAGGACCAAGCGCTGGGGCCGCCTGGGGACGCAGCCGAACCTGCGGGGTCGCCTGGCGCTGTGTCGCCGGCTAGAGCGTGAGGCTGCTGGGCCTGTGGACTGAGGCTGTGCAAAACCCCGCCGCGGCCTTGGGACCGGTGGACCAGCGTAGCGTGAGCCCTCCATCCTGGTTCTGGCTGCGTCCCCCGAGGAGTATGGCGAAAGACCCGTTCCCTGCCTCCCAGCCGGGCGCTAAGCACCTCACTCTGTGTCTGCACTCCCCTCACATTGACTTTACAACCTGTCTCACATCCCACTCTCTAACTGACGGCATCTGCACTCCAAGAACCCCGGGTCCAAAGCGGGCGGCGGGGAATCACACAGCTTCCTTTTCCCAGACTCCAGACAGTAGCTGCCGTCCAGCCCGAGAAAATTTGGGGCAGCAACAGGGGAAATAGGAGTTATTCCTAAGGGGGTTCTAGGCAGTGGGGCAGAAAAAAGCCCCTTGCTGTCCAGGGAATTCTCCTTTCTCGGGCAAAGGGATTGAGGAAGGGAGATGTGTGAAAAAAGTGTGAAAGAAACGTTGTACTTGATGGCCTTGTATCAGAAGTGGAGACCAGAAGCCAGAAGGGGAATAAAAGCAATGTGATAAACAATATGTTTCTCTAGTGTGGCTGGGAACCCAAATGCAGCAGTCAGAAACTGTCTTTGATGACTGAGTTGCGGGCAGCAGTTGGTGTGCACCTCCTGACTACATTCACACCCAACCCTCTTATATACTCACAAGTTGTTTTATGCAGTGGAGTTGGAACCAACTTGTAGCTGACCTGCCAGCAGGTTTTCTGAAGCTGTAAATTACATGGGAGAATACTGCCCATCTTTTTCCCATAGAGCAGCTAGTGGATTTGAACTGCATGTCTTTGAGCTGGCACCATAACTCCTTAGGAGAACTCACTGTGTGAAAGGACAAGATTTATTAGAAAAGAAGAAAACTCTGTGATGGGGGGACGCAGAACACACAGGGCCTGGGAGGACTCACTTCTAGAACAGCTAGTGCTCAGAGTTTTCCAGGGCTGTTTCTTACAGGGAGGGGCATCTTTCAGGAGTAAAGGAAGTGTTTTAGCACAGGCAGTGGGATGGCTGCAACTTTCCTTCCTCTGCACACACACTACTACAAGATGGACCAGGGTGCAAAGGATTCTGGAAGGTAGAGGGGCACTTAAGTCACTCTGGCCTCTGGTTTGAGCAGGCTCCCCTCTTTAAGCTGCCTTCTTTTACTGCCTATTAGCATCAGGCCTTTGATGTTTCTCAGAAGTTGGTTGTTTTAGTTAGGTGTGCCTGGGTATACCAGAATGCTAGAATATGTGTGTGCGTGTAAGCAAGTTTCTTTGCTTTTTCTTTCTTGTTCTCCTAATTCCATAGATCTTTTTTTTCTTTTTTTTTTTTATTTTTGTGTGAGTATACCGTCAAATCAGATCTGACTGGTACAGGAGGAGATTGTCCCTCCTTTTCCCAGCAGAGCATCTGGTGGATTCGAACCGTGTGCCTCTGGGATTGTAGTTGCAGCTCCTTGCCACTAGGCCACCAGAGCTCCCCCTAATTCCATAGATCTTATAAGCAGATTCTTTTGACTTGTCTTTTTCACCTTCAAGGGAACATTGCATGATTTTTTTTAAAAAAAGTGTACATCAAGGCTGTGTCCCTTCTCTATATTTATTCAGTCTATATGCTAAGCAAATCATTCGAGAAGCTGGGCTTTATGAAGAAGAATGTGGCATAAGGCTAAAAGAAAGATTCATCAACAACCTGTATTATTTAGACGACACAATCTTGCTGAAAGTGAAGAGAACTTGAAACGCTTCATTTCAACATTAAGGGAACAAAAATCCTCACCACTGGGTCAATAGGCAACATCATTTTAGACAGAAAAGAAATTTGAGTTGTTAATGATTCCATTTTCTTTAAATCCACAACACAATCAACACTTAACAGCAGTCAAGAAATTAAAAGATGTGCTGCATTGGAAAAATCAGCTGTTAAGGACCTCTCCAAAGTGCTGAGGAGCAGCAATGTCAGTTTAAAGACTAAGGTGCACCTGATTCAAGCCATGGTTTTTGCAATTACTTGCTCTGCATCTGTAATTTGGAATAAGAATTCAATTTGTGGCATTGGGGAAAAAAATGAATATTCCATAGACTGCCAAAAGAACAAATAGATATGTCTTGGTGAAAGTGTATCCAGCGAGCTCCTTAGAGTCAAGGATGATGAAACTTGATCTCACATACTTTTGCCATATTGTCAGGAGGGGTCAGTCCTGGGAAAAAGACATTATGATTGGAGAGGTGGAGGGTCAGCGAAAGGGGAATATCCTTTACAAGATGGATTGACACTGTGACTAAAGCAATGGGCTCAAGTACACGAAGGCTGGTGAGGATGGTGCGGGAGAGGGCAAAGTACAGATCTGTTGCTCACAGGATCACTACGAGTCATAGTTGTTCCCTAGATCATTGTCTTTTGTCACACTGCTAGCCCATGACAAAAGGACAACCGCTGTCCTGGTCTTCCCCTCCCCCATCAACAAAACAAAATAGACCCATATGCAGGCCAAGGCCATGCATGGGAGAAAGCCCACTTTCTTAGTGCTGCCTTTAGAGCCCTAATCCCACAAGAGAAAGAGCTATGTGAAAAACTCAAGGTGCCTGTCAGGAGGGGCCCCAGCACCCCACGGCTTCCATCTAAGGATCCAGTGGGAAGCAGAGAAGGCCCCGATTGTGCCTTTGCAGGGGCAGGGCAGGCACCTGGGCACTCCCCTTTCTGCTCCCAGGCCACCTTCCCACCAGTTGTCAGCAGAGGAGGAGGGAGATGGGGAGAAGAGGATCAGGTGAGGCCTTCACCCTAGTAGTCCAAGACTGGCTGCCAGGCCTGGTGTTGCAGGGAGGGATGAGGCGGGGCAGGAACAGCCAACTGCCTTCCGGGAGCCAAAGCGAAAGCACTCCAGCTGGGACTGGAGAGGGAGTGCGGAAGCTATCCAAGTGCTGTGAGGCCAGGGCTGGGAAGGGATTCTGGGACCTACTGCCAATCGGCTCTGGGCTGAGAGGGGCAGGAGCAAAGAGTCTGCCCCCCCTTTGGGGGGGCATCTGAGTACCCTGAATCCTAGAAGATGCCTGTGTCCTGGTTTCTTCTGTCTTTGGCACTGGGCCACAGCCCTCAGGTCACCTCCCTGGAGAGGCTTCCAGGGTCTCAGAACTCCGTGTATTGCTCTCCGGTGAGTCCAAAGCCTTGGGGGCACTCAGGACAGGCTCTGGGTTTGGGTCCCATCTCAGCCCTTGCCTGGCTCCTAGTCACTGCTGCCATCCCCAGAACTGCCCTGGCCGGTCTGCCTAGTACTGGAAAGGGAAGAGAAGATGGGAGAGGTCTCTGTCACCTGGGAGGAACTTAAAGAGGTGTGAGAGGTCTCCGCAGGGATTTGGGGACATAAACTCTGTTTCTCCTCCTTCCTAGGGCCTTTCCTGCCACCTCTGGGGTGAGTATCCCTACATAAGAGAGAAAAGAACTCAGGTTGGAGAAGGGAGGGGGCCACCCAGATCCATGACTTCACCACTTCCTCAGCCCAGGAAGGAGTTCTGCTCTTTGGTTCTTTCGGGGTGTCAGGTGTAGAGCTCCAAATTCTGAACAGCTTTGGCTCCAGCTCCACTTCCCTGTACAGATGGTGACATGCTCTGCTTGCCCGGGACCCTCGAGCCTGCCCCAGGCCCAGTGCTAGTACCTGCCAGCCTGCAGACAGAACTGGTGCTGAAGTGCCACCAGGAGACTAGCTGTGACCCCTGCGTGCGTGTGGATGTCCGTTTGGCTGTGCATGGTGAGAAAGTTCTGCATCTGCATGTGTAGACAGAGGCCTGTCTGGGACAGGCAAGGATGAGAGATCTGTAGGTAGCACTGACCACCCTCAGTGGCCTGGCAGACAAGGACCCACAGAAATGGCCAGATTGGGGCCTGACCTGGGTCTTGTTCTTGGGTTGTTGCAGGGCACTGGGAAGAACCTGTAGATGAAACATTTAGAGGAGCAGCCGGCCTGGAGCATGGAGAACCTAGCCACGGTGGGTTGGGGGACCCAGACAGCCTGTCTTCTTAAAAAAATATTTTATTATGGTTTGAAGGAAAGTTTGCAGAGCACATTAGTTTTCCATGCAGCAATTTATACTCAGTGTGTTCCATGACATTAGTTGCCATCTCCTTGATGTAACAGTTCTCTCCACGTTGTCCCTGGATTCACCATTTCCATATGCCCTTTCCATCCCTTTCTGCCTTCTAGACTTCATTCCTGGGGACATGCTGCCCTTTTGGCTGATTATTCTGGGGAGTATGTACCTCAGTGTCATTGTCACTCTGTAGGCCTGCCTGCTATTTGACTGACGAGTGATCTCAAGGGTGGGCTCAATATCAGGGGGTCCACCAGTGCCTATCAGACCAGTAAGTCTGACTTTTTATGTGGTTTTAAATTTTGTCCTCCCTTTACTGGCCCCACTGACCCTTTGCCTTATCATTCGCAGCTTTTCTGCACTCCCATGTCGTGCTGTCCTTCCAGGCCTACCCAGCTGCCCGCTGTGTCCTGTTGGAGGTGCAAGTACCAACCTCCCTGGTGCAGCCCCATAGGCTTGTGGTATGTGAACAATAATAACAAAGCATTCTAAATGGGAGCTCTACAAAGTCACAACTCTGACTGGTGATTGGAGAGCCCAACCAGTCCTTTGCATCTCAGTTTCCTGTCTGCAAAGGGGAGATAAAAGCAACCCCACTGCATATGGCTGTTGTGAGAATTAAATGAATTGGGATATATAAATAAAGAGCTCTAGTGGCTTAGTGGAAAGGAATTGGGCTGCCAACCCAAAGGAATGTGGTTCAAATCCACCAGTTGCTCTACAGAAGTTGAGGAATCTCCTTCTGTGCAATTCACTGCCTCTGAAAAGCAATTGGAGGAGGGCCAGGTGTGGTCAGTTCTGACTGGACTGTTCATAACAACAACAATATAAAGTATAAGTACCAACTTACTACCCACTTGGTTAATGACCAGTTTCAACTTAACAATACACAGCAACAACACCTAATGGCCAGTGCTGAAGGACTGCCATCAGTGAATATTATTTTTCTTTAAAAAAAAAACAACTTCAAAATTGCTTTATTATTTACCTGCATCTTTGATATAAAGAAACTGAGGTTCAGAGAGAGGGGGCCTGTGGGCTGGACCTACTTCTCTGGGCTTCTGGACTAAATGCTCTGCCACAGTGCACGGTACTGTTTCAAAAGGCCAGACCTGGAGGGAAAAGCTGTCTCCTTTAAGGTTGTATCCCCATGCCCTGGTCACTCACGTCTTATCTGAAATCTAGAGAATGAGGGGCATCTGTTTGACCCATCACAAAGCACTCGTGAGGCCCCTGAGGAGCTGTCTGTGAGAATAAGCTCAGTGAGAGAAGTCCCACGTTTGTGTCGGTGTGTCAGGTCAGCTCTGGCTAGGTGATCCAGTGCAGCTCGAGAGGGAGCAGGGCCTCCAGTAGTCAGAGCCATTAATCTTGTCCTGATGGCACCCTACTCAGAGTGTTTGCTTTAGAATGGGGAAAAACTTAATTGTGGAGTTTATGGCTGTCTAGTTCATGGATGGGTGGGTGAGTGGACAGTGGGGTCCATGCAGAAAAGTCACAGCCACAGGGCCAGTTCCTGAGCACCACGCCACTGGCTTTCTCCCTCCCCTTTCCTCACAGGGCTCTGTAGTATTTGACTGCTTTGAGGCTGCCCTGGGAGATGAAGTGCAAATCTGGTCCTATACTCAGCCCAGATACCAGAAGGAACTCAACTTCACCCAGCAGTTGCCTGGTAAGTGGTCCTGGAGCCCGAGGCCCCAAGTCCTACATGTCCTGGCCCCCGTCTCTCCCTCTCTGGTCACTCCCCTTCCCCCTAGTCATGTCCTCTCCCAGACAGGGGTCTGAGTTCACATCCTCCTCAGATTCTCTTCCTCCTGCACTCTCTCTGCAAGTGACATAGCTTGCTAATTCTGAGGAAGGTGCTTTGGGCACTGGATGGTGTGGGTGGTGTTTAAGGGACAGGGAGCCCAATGGCCTGCATGGATTGGATTTCCCCCCTTCCCATGGCCCCAGCCCACTGGAGGCTTTTCTGTGATCTCTCTCCAGATTGCAGGGGGCTCGAAGTCCAGGACAGTATCCAGAGCTGCTGGGGTAGGGGCTAGGGCCAATGGGGGTCAGGGGAGGGGGGCATGCTGTACAGTGTGAGGGACCCTTGGGATTGGCTCCAAATCTGGACTGCCTCATCTCAGAGGCTAGCAGAACAAATTCATTCATTCATCAAACATGAAGTATAGGAACTGGAAAGGTAAAGATAACTATAAAGATGACTCTTTATAACTTGTTATTAATACAAGAACATCTAGAGAGTCTCTGGGTAGTGCACATGGTTAATGTGCTTAGCTGCTAACAAAAATCTTAGAGGTTTGAGTACACAGAGGAGCCTCAGAAGAGAGGCCTGGCAATTGAAAGGCCAGCCATTTCTACTCTGACACACATGATGTCACCATGAGTTGGAATCAACATGACAGCAACTGGGATTTTTTAGGGACCCCTGCTTAATGGTAAGGAGTTGTGCTGCCAACCAAAAAGTGCATGGTTTAAATCCACCAGCTGCTCTGCAGGACAAAGAAAAGCAGTCTCCTGTGCAATGTACTGACTCCAAAAACCTGCTGGAGGGTCAGATCTGAGTCACTTCTGACTCTACGATACCCAACAATAGAGATTCAAAGTTGGCTTAGTAGTAAGGAATTGTAATGCCAATTGTGCTATCCACCCGCTGCTCTGTGGAAGAAAGATGGGCATTCTCCTCCCATGGGATTTACAGCCTCTGATAACCCACTGGAGGGTCAGTTCTGAGTCTATTCTGACTCAACAACATGTAACAACACAACAGAGACCCAAAGCAGCATGATCTTCCTACCTCCGTATATAAAATAATATTAAATAATTAAGGGCTAGGAAAGTTGAAGTTTTGATAGTTTTTACTGTAAATTATTTGGATTTTGGTTTTCCTTTCTATTATGTTATAATACACAATAAAGTGCAATAATTGAAATAGACAATTTGATTAACCTTTTTATATATACACTTTTGTGTAACTACAACCTAGGTCACAATCTAAACATTGTGATGGGTTTTTTTAAACTCTCAAGTAATTTCAACTTTTTCTTTTCGTTTCTTAAACTTCAACTTGGCTTGCCTCTAGTGATCCAGTAAATATTATTCAGCAAAAGAGCTTTGAGAATACAGATACACATCAGACAATTTTTTCTTTCTTCATTCAGACATTGAGTCAGCTTATATTTACTGAATAATTGCTATGTATGAGGCCTTTGGCACTGGACATAAACCAATAAGAAAAACTGACAAACCCCTTGCTCTCAAAGAGCAGACTTCTCTTCAGGACTCAGGGTGGAAGTCAGGTAACAAGTTTCATGAGGATATGTGCCAGGAAGAAAATTCAAGGGCAAAGGATAAGATGTTCGGAATTGCAAGGGTCCATCCAAAATGGTCCACAAATGAAGAAAGCCATAAAGGACTTGAGGGAGGAGCTGTGTAGGAGTATGAGAGGAGGGTTCTCTGCAGAGGTTGAGCCAATGCAAAGAGCCTGCAGCGGCAGAGTAATATACTTAGGAATAAGGTGGCCAGTGTGTCTGCAGCAGAGTACTTGAGCGTCGAGACTAGGAGAGGATGTTAGTGAGGCTGTGGTTGCTAGACTGAGCAGAGTGAGGGTTATGACCATGGAAGGACTCAGATTTTTCACTCAGAGCAGCATGGGAGCCATCAAAATCTTCTGAGCAGTAGAGGAAGATTTTTCTAGCTGTACAGAGGAAAGAATCGTTGTTCCAAGAAGAGAGATCTGGAGCTGATAGGGACATAATCTGGCCTGTGGGTTCACATCTCTCCCTCCAGGAGGGTCAGTAGGTGGGGACAGCCCAGGCTGAAGTGTAGACATGCTGAAGGGATCTAAGCCTCCTTCTCATCTGTCCTTCTGGCAGCCCAGTCTTGGCTCAGCTTGTCTGCAGATGGTGACAACGTGCGCCTGGTGCTAGACGTCTCTGATAAGCAGCGCTTCAGCCTTTCCCTGTACTGGGACCAAGTTCAGGGCCCCCCAAAGCCCAGGTGGCAGAGAAACGTGGTGAGTTTCCCTCATTTCCCAAGTCCATTCCCTCTTTAGGCTAATGCTAAGATGTGAGCGCATTTTCAAGGGGACCTTTGAAGAGGCAATAGAGACCCATGCCAAAGCAAGAGAGCTTCAGGGGTGGGGGATTCCAGATATCAGGCATCAAGCAGCAGGAAATGGCCACTTTGCCTGCTGTAGATTCCAGCCTGCCTCTTCCTCCATGCCACCACTTTCCCTCCTTGTTTTCACACAGACTGGGCCCCAAAACGTTACCTTGAACTACACAGAACTGGTCCCCTGCCTCTGCATTCAGGTAAGACAAGAGCCCACCTCAGCCTGAGGGATGGGGAATTGGGGAGGCTTTGCAGGCTTGGTGGTCCTTCTTTGACCCCTGCTATCTTTCGCCTCCTGCCTGTCACAGCCAAGAATGTCCCTCCTGGCCTTCCATCCATAAGACTTCGACATACAAGCCTCGCATCCCACTGAGGAGCCACCTCCTCCTGTTGTTGTTAGGTGCCATCAAGAAGAGTACCCACAGTGACTTTATGAACAACAGATGTGAACCCTGTCCTATTCTGCACCCTCAACACCCTTGAGCCCCGTCTCAGTCACTGTGTTGATCCGTTTCACCGAGGGTCATCCTCTTTCTCTGGCCTTCTACATTACCTAGCATGATGCCTTTTCACAAAGACAGGCCCCTCCTAACAACATGCCCAGGGTATGTGAGACAAAGCTTCACCATCCTTGTCTCCAAGGAGCACTCTGACTGTACTTTCTCCAAGACATTCTCCTACTCCTGGAAGCCTCTTGTTTGCCCAATTTCTTCTCTTTGTTTCCCTGAAAGGCAGAGCATGTGCTTGGGTTTAAACTGGTTTGAATCCTAACTCTTGCCTTTTGCTAGCTGTGTGGCCTTTGACAAATCATTTCACCTGAAGCTAAAGAAAATCAAATCAAATCAAATCAAATCCACAAGAACTAAACATTTGACCTTGAGTCTATCCCAGCAGAATTCAAAGACCATCTCAGGAACAGGTTTGAAGCCTTGAGCAGTAATGAGTAAAAACCAGATGAGCTGTGAGAGGACATCAAGAATATCATTCATGAAGAAAGCAAAAAGTCATTACAAAAACAGGGGAGAAAGGAAAGACCAAGGTGTATGTCAGAAGAGACTCTGAATATTTCACTAGAGCACCCAGAAGCCAGAGCAAAGGGAAGAAGTCAAGAAGTTAAGGAGCTGAACAGAACATTTCAAAGGGTAGCTCAAGAACACAAAGCAAAGTATTATAATAAATGTGCAAGGAGCTGGAGCTGGAAAATCAAAAGGGATGAGCTCACTTTGCATTTCTTAAGTTAAAGGAACTAAACAAATTCAAGCCTCTAGTTGCAATACTTAAGAATGCTGAAGGCAAAATGTTGAATTGCCCAGGAATCAAAAGAAAATAGAATGATTACATGGAGTCAATATACTAAAAAGAATTGACTGACAGAAGAATTTCATGGAACAACATATGAGGCAATGGTTATGAAGGAGGATGTTCAAGCTGCTCTGAAAGAACTGGTACAAAACAAGGCTCTGGGAATTGATGGAATTACCAATTAACATAGTTCAGCAAACAGATACTGGCCTGGACATGCTCACCAGGTTATGCCAAGAAATCTGGAGGACCTGGCCAACTGATTGGAAGAGACTTGTATTTATTCCCATTCCAAAAAAAGGGGACCCAATAATATATGGAAATTATCAAACAATACCACTAATATCACATGCAAGTGAGATCCTGCAGAAGAATATCGAGAAGTGACTGGAGCAGTACATCAGCAGAGAACTGCCAGATGTTCAGGCTGGGCTTAGAAGAGGCTGTGGCACTAGGGACATCATATCCAACATTAGATGGACTTTGGCTGAAAGCAGAGAGTACCAGAGGAATGTCTAGCTGTGTTTCATTAACTATGCAAAAGCATGTGACTGTGTGGCTAACCTTGAGAAGAATGGAAATCCTAGAACACTTAATTGTGTTCATGCAAAACCTAAACTTGGACCAGGAAGCAATAGTCAGAACAGAGCAAGGAAACACTACATGGTTCAGGATCAGGAAAGGACTGTGTCAAGGATGCATCCTATCTCTATACTTTTTCAAGCTATATGCAGAATGTGACATCAGGATTGGAGAAAGACTCATCAACAACCTGCATTATACAGATGACACAACCTTGCTTGCTCAAACTGAGAACATGAGGCATTTGCTGCAGAAGGTCAAGGAATGTCTTCAATATGGATTGAAGCTCCACATCAAGAAAATAAAAATTCTCACTATTCAGCCAATTGACATCTTCATGATGGATGAAGAAGAGATTAAGATTGTTGATAGTTTCAGCTTGCTTGGTTCCCCAATCAACATTCTTGGCACCAGCAGTCAGGAAATGAAAAGACAAATTGCATTGAGAAAGTCTGCTGTCACGGACCTATTTAGAGTACTGAAGAACAACAACGTCATTCTGGAGACTAAGGTGCATCTGATCCAGGCCATGGTCTTCCCAATTACTTGCTATGCATCAGAAAACTGGACAATAATAAAGGATGATAGAAGAAAGATCAATGTCTTTGAGTAGTGGTGCTGGAGAAGAGTGTTGAAAATACCGTGCACTGCCAGAAAAACAAACAGGTCTGCCCTTGAGAGGGTGAAATCAGGCTGCTCCCTGGTGGCAAGGATTTTGAAGCTCCATCTCACATACTTTGGGCACATAACCAGGTGGGACCGTCCTTGGAGAAGTGCATCATGCTTAGAAGGGTGGGTGAACAGTGAAGGAGAGGAAGACCCAGGATGAGATGGATTGATTCAGTGACTGGAGAAATGGGATTAGTTCTGTTGGAGACAATGAGATTGGCTCAGGGTAGGGCAGAGTTCAGAGCTAATGTACATAGGGTTGCTATGGGTTGCAGGCACATAACAACAGCACATAACAAGAAGAAGCTTATCTCCTATCTGTGAAATGGAAATAATAGTACAGTCTGTTACAAGCAAGTATGCCACATCTGGGCTTACATATGTTGCCTCTTTCCTCTCTCTTCAGTCAGTTTAATTAGTCACTAGGCCCCATCCATTTTACATCATGTCTAAATCACTTGCCCCTTTTTCCTGGTCAGACCAGTCTGGGCTTCGACCATCTCTCCTCTAGACTATTTCAATAACCTCTCACCCTACCTTCCTTTCCAAAGATCTGAGCTCCATACCCTATCCTGAATGGAGTATTTTCCACTCTGCTTTCCCCTTGGTTCCCTTTTAACTCATCTTTGTTGCATCCAAACTGCTTACTAGGCTCCATTCTGTTCCCATTGCCTGAGTTGCCCTCATCTTTTCCACACACAAACAAATTCTCCTAACTCAAATAGGCCCTCTCTCTCTGAAGCTTTGCCCCAAATACCTGGCCTCCCCTCACACTTATTCTGTCTTTCCCTGTCCATGTATTACTTCCTTATTTGGACACTTGTCTCATTTGGTTTTGCACCCAATAGGTTGGCTTTTTAAAAAAATTTGATGTATTTTTTTTTATTGTGATTTAATGAAAGTTTACAGGAAACTTGAATTTTCATTCATTCATTATTGCACGTTTTCCTCTCTCCCCTTCCCTTCCCCTCCTCCAATTCACTTTCTTTTTTTTTTCATATTCATTGTTGCACAGCTTCCTCCTCCTCCAGTCCACTTTGCAATGCACCTCTTAAACTGGACTATTGTCATACATATAAAGCGTCATCACATATTCCTTTTAAATAGTTCTTTCCTTCCTCTTTCCTAGTGCAGAGTTTGTAGTCTATCCATTCTTCATAGTTTCCCCTCACCTTCCATTTCAGTCCTTCCTTATAACAATGGTGTCAGGCAGTACTTATGCTTTTGTGACTGTACAATGTCCTCCAAGATCACCCATGTTGTATAATGTTTTATGAGTTCACTGTTTTTCAGTGCTATGTAGCATTCAATTGATAGTTTTTCTTTTTTAAATTTTTTTGTTTTATTTAAATTTATTATTAATTTCAGTAAAAATCTACAAAGACTTTGGATTTCAATTCATTCATTGTTGCACTTTCTCACCTCCCAACCCTACTGCCTAGTACACTACCATCTTGGAAAAGTAAAAGAAAAATTTTTTTCATTGTTTTACAAACACTTCCCCAGGTCCACTCCACCATGTAGCCTTCACTCTAGACTCTTGTCATGACAAAAATACCTAATCACATAACCCTTTTAAAAAGTTTTCTCCCTCATCTGTTTCAATGCAGTATACATTATTGAACCCATCTTTCTCAGTCTCCCCCCAACCCCGATGTCAGTCCTGTTTTACAACAGTGGCACTAGGCAGTATTTGTCCTTTTGTGACTGAGATATTTCACTCAGCATAATGTCCTCCAGGGTCACCCATTTTGTGTAATATTCCATGAGTTCCTTGTTTTTCAATGCAGTGTAGTATTCCATTGTGTGAATATACCACAGCTTCTCTATCCATTCGTTTGTTGATAGGCACTTAGGTTGTTTCCAACTCCTTGCTACTGTGAACAAAGCTGCAATAAACATGGGTGTGCATATATCTGCTTGGATGACAGTTATGGCCTCTTTGGGATATATTCCAAGTATGGAATTGCTAGGTCAAAAGGTATCTCTATTTGCAACTTTTTGAGAAAGCACCATACTGCCTTCCACAGTGGTTGCACCATTTTACACTCCCACCAACAGAGAATAAGGGTTCGAAGTCTCCACAACCTGGCCATCATTTGTTCCTTGTTGTTCTATTAAATTTTGCTATTCTGACATCTCATAATTGTTTTAATTTGCATCTCTCTTAGACCTAGGAATTTTGAACATTTCTTCATGTGCTTGTTAGCCATCTGAATGTCTTCTTTGGTGAAGTGTCTGTTCATATCCTGTGCCCATTTTTCAATTGGATTATTTACCTTTATCTTGTTGTGGTGCTCAAGTATTTTATAAATTCCCTTATCTGATGTGTCATTACCAAATACTTTTTCCCAGTCTGTGGCTTCCCTCTTTACTCTGTTGGAGAAATTTTTGGATATGCATATGGATTTGATTCTTAGAAGGTCCCATTCATCTACTTTATCTTTTCCTGCTTGTAGGTTTTTCAGGATACTTGGAAGAATGTTTATGTTGTGGATTAGGACTTCTAGCATTGTTCCTAGCTTTTCTTTAATGAAGTTTATAGTCCTTGGTTTTAGTCCTAGGTTCACGATCCACCTTGAGTTGGTTTTTCTATATGGAGTGTGATGTGGATCTTACTTGAGTCTTTTGAGATACTTTTCCAATT